CCAAGTTTTCTGAGGAATCTCCATACTGCTTTCCATAATGATTGCATCAGTTTGCAGTCCCACCAACAATGTATGAGTGTACACTTTCTCCACAGCCTCACCAGCATTCATTGTTACTTGTATTCTTGATAGTTGTCATTTTGACTGTATTAAGATGGAATCCTAGTTTTAATTTGCATTTCTTTAATTGGTAGAGATGTTGAACATTTTTTTTTTATATATTTGTTGACCATTATAGAAACAATACTTAGATACAACCACCCTCAAGKAGATTTATAAAGGGCAATAGGAGGTGGGATGATTGGAAGCCATTTCAGAAGCTGTCAACCACATAAAGGAATAGTACTCAGCAATGAAAAGGAGCTATATAATTGATATATATAGTAACATGGATGAACAACATGGACAGAAAAGAAAACAGACAAAACTAATTTTCAGGATGAAAATGAGGATCAGTGGTTGGTATGGAGGCTGGTTTTTAATTTCAGAATGGTATAAGTAGGCTTTTTGTATTACAGGAAATGTTCTTTATCTTGATTGTATGGTGATTGCAACAGTGAAAATATTGTTAAATCTCACCTCAAAAATCACAAGTAATTTTATTATTTGTAAATTATAATTCAATTAAGTTATTTTTTAAATTTTATTTTTAACTGACATTTTAAACCTAAAAATGTATATTAGGGGATATTAATGTGATATTATTGGAGTACCAAGTTATACCACATATACCTGCATGAAAGTATAGTGTTTATCATATCTATCTCCTCAAATATTTGTCATTTCTGGTAAAAACTTTCAAAATCCTTTCTTCTAGCACTTTAAAATATACAGTATACAGCAAGCCAGACTTCTTGCTCCTGTTTCTTAGTACTCATTGATCAGCCTTTCACCTTTCTCYTCTTCTTCCCTACTCCTTAGTTTCTGGTGACCACCATTGTACTTTCAACATCAATGAACTTCTGTGAAGTTTTGTAGATTCTACATCTGATTGAAATCATGTGGTACTTCTCTTTCTGCGCGTGGCTTATTTTACTTGGCATAATGAGCTCCATTTTTCATTCATGTTGTACAAAAGATAGTTTTTTTATGACTGAATAATATTCCATTGTGTATATGTACCCACTGATGAACACTTAGTTTGTTTCCATTTCTTGGCTATTGTGAACAGTGCTAAATGAACATGAAGTACAGATTTCTTAGATATACTGATTTCACTGGGATATATACCCATTAGTGGAATTGCTGATTCAAATTGTAGTTTTAYTTTTAATTTTTTAGGTACCTCAAGTTTTTTTTTTTTTTTTAAAGTAAGCTATTGGATTCAGTGATCTGTTCTTGATGACAATGGCCTATCTTGACAATTGTCCAAATAACATGGGGAAGAAGGGTGAACACTAATGGCAATGCTATTTTGTGGTAAGTTTTTGGGAATTAGGCAGATCCAAGTAGGAATGAGACTTGCTGTACTATAGTATTTTTCTGCTCTAAATTATTTTAGATATCCTAAAACACAATAACCAGGTAATTGAGAGCCTACATTGACAGTTTCCATGCTAGAAAGTTAATGTATATGTTACCTCATGAGTTGTAATAATGATACAACTCAAACCAACATTTTTTGAATTGAGGTAAATACAGAATAATTGTTAAAATATGAGGAACTCAGATTGCTGTTGTGGTTCTGGCTTTGTTTTCTTTTTTTGGGGGGGGTTGATATAGGAATTGTTTTTTGTATTTTTTTTCTTAAAATATGTATGTGTTACTTTTATTATTAGTGAAAATATTTTAGAGTTTCTCCAGTGCAAATTTAAAAGACTTCAATTTTTCTTTTTTAATTAGCACATAAATGTGCATGTTTATGGGATACAATGTGGTAATTTGATAYATGTATATAGTGTGTAATAGTCAAATCAGGGTAATTAATTAGCATTTCCATCTCCTTAAAAATTTATCATTGATTTGTGTTTGGAGCCTTCAAAGTCCTTTCAGTTCTTCATAAAATATATAATAAGTTGTTAAACTATAGTCACCAAACTGTGCTGTATAAAATTAGAACTTACCCTTCCTAATTATAATGAGGATGCAAACTAAACAATGGGAGAAAATATTTGGAAACTTTGATAAGAAAAGATTTTGAAAATATTTGATAAGATTTCTATCCAGAATATATAAAAAATAAAAAACCTCAACAACAGCAGCAACAACAAACCCAATAGTCTGATTTTTAAATATCAAATAGGGCTGGGGATGTGGCTCAAGCGGTAATGCACTCGCCTGGCATGAGCGCGGTGCTGGGTTCGATCCTCAGCACCACGTAAAAATAAAATTAAAAAAGATGTTGTGTCTGCCGAAAAACTAACTAAATAAATATTAAATAAATACTAAAAAATTAAAAAAAAATTTAAAAAATATCAAATAGCTGGGCACAGTGGCATATACAATTCCAGTGATTCAGGCGGCWGAGGTAGGAAAATGGCAAATTCCAGGCCAACCTCAACAATTAGCAGGACCCCTCAGTGACTTAGCAACACCCTGTCTCAAAAAATCAAAAGGATTGGGGTTGTAGCTCAAATGTAAAGCTCTCGGTGTCCAGTCCTCACACATGTGAACATGCCTGTGTAGTGGTGCATACCTGTATTCCTAGCAGGCCAAGGAAAGAGGATCTTTTGAGCCAGGTAGTTCAAGTTCATCCTGGACAAATTAATGAGAGCCCTATTGTAAAAAAAAAAAAAAAAAGGAGGCCTGATTTGAGTAGACATTTCTGGAAAGAAGTTATACAAATGGCCAAAAAATATATGAAAAAAATGCTAACATTACTAATTGTTAGGGAGATATAAATTAAAACCACAGTGAGATAACATCTCACCCCAGTCAGAAAACCTGTAAAAATGAAAAAGCAAAAAATGATGGTGAATATGAAGAGAAARGGGGAACTGTCACTCTTAATGGGGATGTAAATTAACTGGTGGGGATGTAAGTAGACAAAATGTGATATAGATACACAGTGAAATATCATTCAGCCATAAAAAGAATGAAATCCTATCATTTGTGTCCAAGTGGATGAAAGAAGAGATCATTAAGTGAAATCAACCAGGTACAGAAAGACAAATGCCACATGCTCTCAACTCATATTCTGAAGCTAACAAAGTTGATTTCATAGAAAAAGAACAGAATAGTGAGAATTGTAGTAGAATTCTTAGAGGACAAGAAAAGGTAGCAGTAAGGGGGAGGAGAAAAGAAGATTAGATAACTGACTTTGTTTTTTATTCCTGTCTGTGGACAAAAGTTTTTTTTTTTTTTTTTTTTTTTGGTTTCATTCTTCAGGCTTTCTGCAAAGAGTAATTGAGACTTTTTTTAAAAAAGATATTTTTATAGTTGCAGTTGGACACCATATCTTTATTTTTATTTATTTATTTTTATGAGGTGCTGAGGATAGAACCCAGCACTTCACATGTGCTGGGTGAGCATTTTATGGCTGAGCCACAATCCCAGCCCCCAGTAATTGAGACTTTAAGCTAAATTTTTTTTATGGTTTTTTTTTGTTTTCAAGATTGTAAGAAGGAGGTGTCAGGTGGAGGTATGTTTCTGAGAARAAGAAAGCATTGAACAGACTTTTGCAAATGCATATGCCCAGTTCTAGACAGGCACAGCTCCAGAAATACCAGCCTTACCCTGAATGAAAGGGCAATGTTTATATGTGTTTAGTATGAAAAATAAAGCTYACCTTTTGACTTTCTGTAAACAGAATGATACTTTCTTTGTCAGCAGTGACATTTTTGAATGACAAGGTTGATTAAAGTTTGTTCTACAAATATAGTGTTGAGCTAGAATTGTTTTTATGATGGCGAGGCACTATCCAAAGTGTCCAGATAGGAACTTTCTTTTGGAAAGTAAAAATTGTCACTGAGGCAAGTTGTAGCATTACCTACTTCAGCAGTTGTGTTGCATAGAACTTATGCAGCRTAAGTTTTTTTCCTCTTGCTTTTCCTTTAATGGCATGGAATTATTTTCCCTCTTTAACTAGATCAGATGTTTCTGTTATTTTTAAGTGAAATTAAATTATTTTTACTCTAAAATTATAGACCAGCAGCAATCCAGTGTAAGCAGATATATGACAGATTTGCATATTTTGATTCAATGTTCTGTTTCAAATAGCATGGTATGAGAGCTCATAGCATTAATTTGWAAGTAGATGTGATTTGTGAAAAAGAATTTCTGAAAAATATGGAAAAATTGTGCTTCCTCACTGTTTCTCATTAGCATCTTGTTCAATTTTTTTTTATAAAAACCTTTCAATTTCTTATCTTTACTGAATAGAATTTCCTTAAGTTTCATCTCTAGTTTCCCCCCCGCCCTCTGAAATTCTTTTGCTTTACTCTTCAATAAAATGTAAATTGTCTTGTAGATCATGTACATTGGCTTTTTTTTTTCAGTCTCTTCTTATTTAAGGTATATTTTCTCCTTTCATACTTGTATCCTATGGATAGATGAGATAGGTGATATGCTTTTCCATTTTATAGAAGCAGAAATAAGAGYAGGCAAGTTATTTTATTTTCCCAAAATAAAATTTCAACATAGATTTTCATTATAAAACCTGCTCTCTATGAACTATTATTATTATTACTTTATCTGCTACTCCTATCATATACTGAGCACATGATAGATATTGTCAATTGATTGTCTTCTCTATTCAAACCCCCAGTCACTGGTATCTATTTATTTAGAAGCCATGCTTTTAAACAGATTAGTACATTAATTAATGAACTATTTAATTAATTGTGGATTTTTGCATAATTAATGTTGAAGCCTGAGTTCTTCAAGGGGGCACTAAGTTGTTTGATCAAGGAGATTTGAAGTTTGGACTAAATTTTAAAAATATCATGCATGTGAAAAATGTCATTGTATACTGTATGAAAATATTAATGCTAGTCCWATTATGGATAAATGTTGGCAGTGTTTTTTTGTTGGTAATCTTTGGTCTTTTCTTATTTATACAGGAGAAATTAAACAGATTCTAGAAAATGAACTTCAGATTCCTGTGTCTAAAATGCTGTTAAAAGGCTGGAAAACTGGAGATGTGGAGGACAGTGTGAGTTTCTTTTCTTGCTTTTTTGGTATTTAGTACTGGGGATTGAACTCAGGACCCCTTTATCACTGAGGTATATATCCCTAGCCCTTTTTATTTTGAGATAGGGTCTCACTTAGTTGCTTAGGGCCTCACTGAGTTGCTGAGGCTAGCCTTGAACTTGGTAATCTTTCTGTCTTAGCTTCCCTGGTCACTAGGATTATAGGCATGCACCATCATACAAGGCCAGTGTGAATGTCTAAATTGCCAAGAAATAAAATTAAATTATGCAATTGACTAACTTGTATATAAAAATTGATTTTAACTAATATTKTTATATATGCCAGAAATAGATTTGGTTTTAGTAATTTTGTTTATGTAATCCACAGTGATTTTCTTTTTTTTTTTTAAATTTTAATATTTATTTTTTAGTTCTTGGCCAACACAACATCTTTGTCTGTATGTGGTGCTGAGGATCGAACCCGGGCTGCACGCATGCCAGGCGAGCACGCTACCGCTTGAGCCATATCCCTAGCTCCTCCACAGTGATTTTCAAGCTAAAGTCTTTTTGTTCTAAACCAAAAAAAGTTTTAAATGAGTTATGTAAATGAAAATATTATGTGGAGTATTTTTTTCTAAGTATTTTATAGGAGTTTTGACTCTCTCTCTCTTTTTTTTTTTTTTTTTAAGATGTCCATCTTTTTCTCAAACTTCTTAAGAGTGTCAGTGAGTGCTCTGGAATGATAATTTATTGAACAATTACTTATTTACCTGAGAGAAGTGTCACACAATGTGTGTGTGTATACGTTACGTATATATACATTTTTTTTGGGGGGGGGCATGCTGGGGATTGGGAGACAAGCACTCTACCAACTGAGCTACACATCCAGCYCCTCATACAATGTATACATTTTTGCAAGTGTAAATTATGAAACAAAGATAATAATGGGAAACTTAAAACTTAGAAAATTTAAATGATAGAATATTTCTTTGTTTACTTGGATARTGGCAGGTGAGTGGAATGAATAATATTTTAAGAATCTGCAATGTTGTAATTTTCAGATAATAGCTTCTGTTCTTAGGCATGTATTAGTAGCCTTGGGTATAAAATGTTTCATACACCTTATTTTTTACAGAAAGAGTGAGGACGGAGGAAAAGAAATGAGTTAAATCTAAARTTGTAAATGTTTGAGATAGAAATAATATATTGACTCTTCCCATACTGTTACTGAGTCAATATTTTTACAATCAGGCATAAATAGAATCTGCAACTTTTTGTTCAGTTCTCTGTGAATAGCTTCAGATAGTCATTGTGATTTTAGGTCATATGTGAGTTCATGTGATATATGGAGAGTATTTCAATAAGTTATTTACAGGAATTTCAGGTAGACAAAATATTTATAAGTTTAGATATAAGTTAGGAGTTAGCAAACTGTTTTCTGTATAAAACTACCATAATAAATATTTTAGGCTTTGTGGGCCTTAAGGTCTATTGCAGCTACTTGACTTGGCTGTCAAGAAAGAGTGAAAGCAGCCATAGACAATATGTGAAACAGCAAGCATAATTCTGTCCCAATGTAACTTTATTTATGGACAACATATTTAAATTTTATGTAATTTCATGTCACGAGAATATACTTCTTTTTGATATTCTTCCTCCCAACTATTTAAAAATGTAAAATCATTCTTAACTTTCAGACTATACAAAAACAGTTATCAGGCTGAATTTGTAGTGGTTGATAGTTTGCTGACCACTGGTGCTAAGTGGTTTTTCTATTTTTGTAATGCTAGAGATCACAAAAGAGCCTCATGCATGATAGATAAGTGCTCTATCATTGAACTACATACAACTCAAGCCTCTGGCTGTTCTAGTTTATACATGGATTTATTAAAAAAAAAAGAGAGAGTAGTATGAACTAACAGTCTTGACAAAAATAAGTAAAACACCAAAATGTAATCATTTACATAGATATTATTTATTCATTCTTTTATTTAGAAACTTGTGACTATGAAAAAATCTTTCATGGAATTTTCAGTAGTTTTTGAAGAGAAACACCCCCGCACCCCCACTTCCAGTGGGGTCTTGATGTTTCCCAGGCTGACCTCCAACTTCTTATCCTTCTCCCTCAGCCTCACTAGTAGCTGCCATTACAGGCACACACCACTACACTGGCTAAGGCAATCATTTTGAAAATGTTGATTAAGCTGTGTGTTATAATATTTAACATAGCCTTTGTTTCAGTAATACTTTCAAGCTGGTTGCCATGGCACATGCCTATAATCCCTGCTGTTCAGGAGGCTGAGGCAAGAAGTTATAAATTTAAGGCCAATCTGGACAACTTAGTAAGACCCTGTCTCAAAATGAAATAAAAAGGGCTGTATAGCGCTCAGTGATAGAACATCTCCAGATTTAATACCTAGTAGCGCAAAAAAGAATAAGTTCTTRTTCCCTGCTTATGTAAGATCATCCTTTCCTAGGAGTCCTTACCTCCATCTGCACGCTTAAGAAGTATTACTAAACAGCCATTYCTTGCTTTCTAATACTTTAACTTTGTATTATCATTTGCTTTGATTTAGTCTGGACTAATTTCATTACACCTTTCCCCCCCTGTCAATCACTGCAAGGAGTATGAGATTCCCAAGTCATTCCTCACTTAAATCCTCATAGTCCCTACACATCCATACCAGTCTCTGTCCTTTTTCCTCTATGATGTCTTAAACTTTTTTGCTACATGCAGAGGTTTGCTGTGGAAGGAATTAATCATTAGCATAATTCCTTCTATTATCAAACTCTTCCCTTGAAGACTGAGGTTATCTTTTCCAATGGGGTCTTTCTGTGTTTCCCAGGCTGACCTCCCAACTTGCTATCCTCTTCTCTCCTCCCTCAGCCTCATTGTTYCTCATTTCTTTTTCTAGACCTTTATCTGTTTTTCTTCTGTAAAATTCCTTTGACTTTGGATTTTCATGTCAAAAGATTATATCATCTACTTATTGAAGTCATTACCCTTTATTTCTTGATAATTTTTAGTGTCTGGTTTATAATTACTGTTTCCTAATTCTTAATATAATGTAAATGATTTTTCTAATACCTTAACCTTTTAGTTCCATAAATATATCCTCTATAAAAATCTTTCTCCACTTAGCTCAGACCTGTGGTCTTATCATCTTTTAATATGACAACTCTAATCTTAATTTCAAGCTCCCATTTTTTTTTTGCTCATCATCTCTCATCTTTCTCGCTCACTTATTTTAGATATCCTAATCCCAACAATTCTTAACCCAATTTATATTGCCAATTCATTTTTTCTTCCCTCTTTTCATGTTCATTATATCATTTTATCCACATTTTACTCTAGATTAAATTTCATGATTAGTCATAATTTTCTTGCATACATATGCCTCATGTTCGACTGAAATCCTTACTTTGACTAAATTCAACTCTCTGGCTTTTCTGTGTCTTATAGGAAAATGTAGCTGGAGACAAACAAAATCATCCTGATAGTATATTTTTAAATTCATGATCATGATTTTCAGAGCACTCCTTAATGTTGCTAGAAAATCCTAATGTATATACTTGGTTTATCTACACTACCCTTCATTCTTACTCTCAGCTGATGACTTTGTTCTTTCCTGTAATTTTATATTTTTTAAATTTATATATCCATATCAGACGTGTCTTGAATTCCGAATTTCTATATCCAGTCATTTACTTACTTTCTCTACTTGAATGTTTAGTAGACATTTCTATTTAGTGGGTCCAAAATGTAAGTCTTTATCTCTAGCCTTCTCCATATCAATTGATGGCAATTTCATCCTTCTACTTGTTTAAGCTAAAATTTTAGGGTCATCATTGATACTTTTCTCTCATAATCCGTATATAGTTTGTAAGGAAATGTTTTGGCACCATCTTCATAATGTATCCAGAATCCAACTGGTTTGCCCCACTTCTGCTGTCACACTGACTTAAGCCCCCATCAGCTTGATCTTATTTTATTTCATTAACCTGCTCTCCTGCTCTCCTCTGCCAACCCTTTCTCATCTATTCTGAACCAGGCTGCCAGTATAATTCTTTTTAAACATGAATTTGATCATGTTACAATAGTAGCTTCCCTCTCATCCAGAATTAAAGCCAAACCTTTACATTAATAGAAATGGTTCAACATGTTTTCTGTCCTTATTGTTGCTGTTACTGTATGACTTATCTCCTACCAGTGCTTACTTGGCTCCAGTTACATTGAACTCCTTCTTGTTCCTTAAATATTTTGTACTGGCTCTTTCCTTCGCTTGAAATATTCTTTGTCTATATATACTCATGCTTTTTTCTCTTATCAACTTTAGGTCTTTGCTCAAATTTACATTCTCCAAGTGAGACCAGCTTGTTTTAAATCACAGAGCTCCTATATCTCATATTCTTCCTTCCTTGATTTATCTTTAGTAAAAACAACAACAAACAAACAAACAAACAAACAAAAACAAACTCATCCCTTTCTGATACTCAGCTATATAGGTTGATCACTTTATTTATTCCTACTAAAATGTGAATTCTGACTGGAATTTTATTTTAGGCTATTCTAGTCAGTGCTATCCTCCATGGCTGGAGTAATCCTATCAAGGAGTATGTGACACAATAAAATATCTGTTGAATAAGTTTATGTCTTGAGCTGTGATGTAAAATATACTTCCTAATGTTATTGCTGCCCAAAAAGTATTTCAGCAAGTATTTACTATCATATTATGAGTTTGAAATGTTTGAATTTTGTAGCCAAGAAATGTAATAAACTTGTGTATGGTTTATTTAKATGGTAGGTCAGATGTGGCTTAAGAGTAATTTATTCCCTCCAGACAGAGAGTTTTAACAGGAAAGGTTTCTAGAGTAAGAGTAAATTGAGCTAATTAATACTTCCTTATATACAAATTAGGTAACCTCTCAGGGTGTAATTCCTCCTTATCTACAGAATCWTTAGCTTGAGGTGCTCTCTATTATCTTACCTTTCTTAGGTCTAATGATTTCTGAAAATCTTCATTGCTAATATTGGTCATAATGACTCTGGAATCAGTGCATATTAGTTGCAAACATATACTTCTAGAGTGAAGAAATTAAATGAGTCTCAGGTGTGTGTTTATCCATTTGTAACTCTTCATGAGCTAAAGAATTTACATTTTACTTTAATAGTCATAATTTGACTAATTTATAATATATACAAGAGAAACTAGGTTATTTGTATTCAGCACTTTTGTATTACCCTATTTAGGAAATTTCCAAAAGACAAAAAGGTCAAACTAGAAAATTGCTAAATTTTCAAGTATTATTTTTTAAAAAACCATAAATCAACAAATATTTGTTTTATTTTTTCTTTTTCAGACGGTCTTAAAATCCCTACACTTGCCAAAAAACAACAGCCTTTATGTCCTTACACCAGATTTGCCACCACCTTCGTCATCTAGTCATGCTGGGTAAGGTGTTTGCTTTTCCTGGGAATCTGAAGTGAAAAGTTTGATTGTTAAATTGCTTTAAGCTATTACTTTAAGCTATAACTATCTAGTCTGGATAATTTGTTAGTTTTAGAGGTAGAATCTTCTTACTCAAAGMAAATCTTTAGCAAAACTCCAGTATATTAAAAATAGTTATAATGACTCTTTTCTGGTTGAAAGGGAAGAATTAGAGTTAGAGGGAAGAGAAAGAATAAATGGAGCTCTGAGCTTTCATTGCAAAAGAAGATATATCTTAAACTGGGCATGTGGTGCCTATAATCCTAGCTGCTTGGGTGGGAGGCTGATGCAGGAGGCTTATAAGTTAGAGGACTAGCAATCTAGAGAGACCCTGTATCAAAATGAATGAATGAATGAATCAATGAATGAGGATGTATTAGAATGCTTCCCTAGCATGTGTAAGGCCTTGAGTTCAAACTCCAGTATTAGGGGAAAGGGAGGAAGACATACCTTTAAAGAATATTCTTTGGGCTCTGAAGAATAAAACTGGGAAAACAGACATAAAATTTTTATTAAGATTATTTTCTCTTTGAAATAGAGGGAATTACGTTGGGTYTGTGGCTCAGAGATAGAACACTTGGCTAGCATGCGTGAAGCACTGGGTTTGATCCTCAGTACCACATAAAGGTAAAATAAAGGTATTGTGTCCACCTACAACTAAAAAATAAATGTTAAAAAAAAGAAATAGAGGAAATCATTGTTTTTGTTTTTTGTTTTCATTTTTCAACACATTTATGGAATTTTAAAGAGATTTTAGTATTTAATAGCACATTAAATTTATTATTGCCAGATGAAGTAAATGATCTGTAGTAACTGATTATACTAATGATAGAATAATAATTTTGTGAGTCTTTTAAACAATATTACCCCATAACTACAGTTGATTTTTAAATTTTCAGTTTTATACACATTTTTATACACATTTCTTCTTCTTATTTATTTTTAATTCATTAGTTATTTTTTATTCTTTTGGTGCCAGGGATTGAACCCAGGGACATTTAACCACTGAACCACATTCCCAGCCCCCTTTATTTATTTGTTTTTAGAGTTTTGAGACAGGGTCTTGCTAAGTTGCTGAGGCTGGCTTTGAACTTGGGATCTTCCTGCCTCAACCTCCTGAGCCTATTCGGTTACAGGCAAGCACCACCAGGCCTGGCCTCTTTTCCTCTTTTTAATACAACTTGGTGTGTGGATTTGCTTGGTTTATGTGCTAGAGRAAATTGTATTCCTAAGCTTTGAATATCATTAAGTTCTTCCCCAGTCATCTACCAAATATTCTCATTTTTAGGTAAGTACTGAGAGAGAGAGAGAGGGGAATCTTAAATTTGGCTTCATCAAAGTAGAAAATCACTGAAATGAAAAGTTAAGTTTAGCATAATTATATTTGATAGTCTGTAAATAGTTTGTTCTAGGTTAAGAATATTAAAATTTCTTGTATTGCTCTTCATCTTCTATATGTAGATCATATAAATGAAAAGTGGAATATGCACAGATAATCACAAATGTACAAACTACAAACATAATCCTTGTGTTTATAGTAATGTTGATAGAAAACTCAGATGAGCTTATGACAAAGAGTTGTAAGTGTGATTCTGTATCTAGTCAGGTAGAACATTATTTTGTAAGTTAGTTAACAAAGTGTTATCACTATCATATAGTATGTAATCCACATCATTAAAAGCAGACAGGAGCATCATTGTTTATAATCTTGTGCTTTCCAATAGTATGATTAAACGGATTTATCAGAATGTCTTCCTAGGCTAATGGAAATGTTCTTCATTGCCATGTGGCTGACCTCTTGTTGCTAATCACTCTGTCCCTAGGCAAGCAGGGGCCTACAATACTGCTGAAATGGCAGTGTTTATTAGAGAATGAGAACTTAAAGCACAGAAGTATTTTCCTATTTGACTTCATGGATTTTTATCAAGTTATAATGATGCCATTTCTTATGTTGAAACAATAAGAGAAAAGTTCAAAGGCCAACAAAAGATACAATGTAAAAAGGGGATATGTAGATTCCTGCTGTTATAAAAGTCACATTAGTATACATTTTAGTAAAACCTAACTAAAAAGTCAGGGTTTGTTTGTTTGTTTATTTATTTATTGGTAGCCTTACCACTATCTCTTCTGGTATAAGTAGAAATTAGCTTTTTTTAAAAATATTTAATTTTTAGCTGTAATTGGACCCAATGCCTTTATTTATTTTTTAATGTGGTGCTGTGGATTGAACCCAGGGCCTAGCATGTGCTAGGTCAACGCTCTACCCGTGAGCCACAACCCCACCCCCAAGAAATTAGCTTTTTATAACATACTTTCAGTGCTCATTTCATGGGAAATAAATTCATTCATTTATTTATGGTGCTGGGGATTGAACCCTGGGCCTTTGAATGCTAGGCAAGTGCTCTACCACTGAGCTTTATCTTCAACCCTCATGGAAATCATTCCAAAAAACAAAACCTTAAAAGCTAACACTAATAATTAATTTAACTTGTAATTTTTTTCATTTTATTTGGTGTTTCATGAAATAAAAATAATTTTGACATCTAAATAATAGTGTACAAAAAATTTTCCTATAGTTATATACCATTTCAAATTATGAAAATAGTAAATTCTGTGAAAAAAAACTATTTTGTTTAGGTGGTTGGTTTTATATTTAATTGATTTTTATTGATATTTTGTTACATTTTTCTCTGGAATCAGTTCAGTGGATGTTGCTAGATTGGGGAGGGGTTGGTAGTTGTAGAATAAAGTAATTATAATGCAACAACTCTGATAAGGTTCTGCTCCTAGATACCACCATTCCAATTCTAGTGCAATAGCAAACATAAGGTTCTTTTCCTATAAAGTATTAATATTCTCTAAAACAATACATACTCTTGAAGGGAGTTTATTTATATTATTTCACCTACTGTGATTCTTCTCAAGAATATTCATGAATTTTCAGTTTGTAAATTTACTCTTAAGTAAATTTTAAATAATTTAATAAAACATAAAGTACCAAATTCTTAAACTATTTACTGACAAGCCATTTTCTCCTGAAATTTTGGTGAGAATTATTTTTAAAAAACCTTCTTGACTTTACTGCCACTAGGGGGTGCCTGGTAATTGAGTCTTTGTATTTATAATTTCTGGGGAAAGAAAAAAGGTACTAGAGTTGCAAAATTATCATATGAACACTTACAGTTGAATTAAAAATCATTTTAAAGTAAATTATACATTTAGAAAACAGAATTTCAAGCTTTTTGAGAATTTAAGAGCAAACTCTTTAGTCATGATCTTTATAACAGTTAAAAAGCATTTTAAGACTTTTGAAAAATAAATTAGCTGGCACAGCTTCATGTGTTTGTGATCCTAGATACTTGGAAGGCTGAGTGAAATGATCATAAGTTCAGCCAGCTTGGACAACTTAGTGAGACTTGTCTCAAAAAAGGGGGAAAATCASATTTCACTAATTAATTGTAAGGCTGAGGCCTCTGTGGCACAGCTGCAAATTAAGTTATAAGTCATAGGAAAATTAGAATGGTAAAAAAAACTACATGTTTCATATTATTGTAGGAAAGATTTAGCTCATTGATTTTTTTTCTTTTTTGATTACTTACTGGATAAAGAAAAGCTCTGTCCTCAAAAAGTGTGTAAATTTATTCATTGAGGATATGAGGCCTCTGAAAATTTTTTACCTTTTCCGAAAAWTTTTTTTAGATTATATTTATTCCTAGTTCCTTCTAAATTCAGGTTGCTTCATTGAATCTCCATTGTAAGTTTTTCTTTTCTTCACCTGTTCTAAATATTAGTGTTCTTGAGAGTTCTATTCTTAGCAATCCACTTATTTATTGTACCTTCTCCCTGGCATTTTATCTCAATCTTTCATTTTCTTTTTCTTTTAATTTTTTATTTTTGGTTGTAGATGGACACATACCTTTATTTTATTTATTTATTTTTATATGGTGCTGAGAATCCAGCCCAGTGCCTCACACATGTCAGGCAAGCGCTCTATCACTAAGCCACGATCCCAGCTCCTCAACCTTTCATTTTCTACAGTCTAGTTTGTATTTACAAACTTGAATGTCCAGTTTGTATGTGAAGCGTGACATTTTTGCGTCTTGTATTTAATTCAGAGTTAAATTCTAGAACTGAGCTAATTATCTTCCTGAAAAATCTATACTTGTACCTTTATTTTTTGTCTCAGATGAATGATGTTGTAAGATACTGAGGTACATTTTATAGGATGATGATTATTAAAAAGGCCATTGGGTGGACATATATAAGTAATTTATGACTTTATTAAAATCACTTTTGGTAGAATGGTGTAAAGGACAACTAGAATATAGTAGATTTTAAGGGATAAGTGAGAATTAAGGAGTTAATATTATCTTCAGAAAACTTGACTACTAAGGGAAAAAGTAGTGTTTAGAGACTGGATAATTATTGGAGAAAGAAACAGCAAATAGGAAAAATTTTAACAAGTGAAACCAAAAAAGGGCTGACAACCAAAAAGGGGTATGGGAGTGTCTTATATCTAAGTCTTCTATAAAAAACTGTGTGTGTGTGTGTGTGTGTGTGTGTGTGTGTGTGTGTGTGTGTTTATGTTTGTGTGTGTGTCAGAGAGAGAGAGAGAGAGAGAAGAGAGGGAAGGGGCACCTCCAGAGATATTGATCCTTTTCAGTCCCAGCACATTAGGGCCCCACCTTTATGACCTCATTTAGCCTGAGTTACCTACTAAAGACCCTATTTCCAAATATTGTCAGTCACATTGAGGGTTATGGCTTGGATGTATGAATTTTAAAGGGATACATTTTATTCTGTAGCAGGGAAGAAGGGGTGGAGTTCATTAAGTTTTAAAATGAAGTTAGCTAGTAGGTTTAGAGTCAGTGGGAAAGGTGAAAGAATAGAAAAGAATAAAAAGATTTGAAGCCAAATGGGCAATATTTTTGAGTTCTAGATTTCAGCACTATAATAGTAATGGT